AATAAATGTATAAAAATAGAAAAACATTGAAAAGGAAAAGTAATTTAGTGGAGACTAGATAGCAAAGTATAGTCTGAGGTTAAATAACTAAAGTAGTTTGGAAGTGGTTTTCACTCCAGTGATGCAAGGATGGTTCAACATATGCAAATCAATAAATATGATTCACCACATAAATAGAAGCAAAAACAAAGACCATATAATCATCTCAGTAAATACAGAATAAGCATTTGATAAAATCCAGCACCCTTCCAGGATAAAAACCCTCAACAAACTAAGCATATAAGGAACATATCTCAAAATTTAAAATGTCATATATGACAAACCCACAGCCACCATCATACCAAATAGGGAAAAGTTGAAAGCATTCCCCCTAAGAAGTGGAACAAGACAAGCGTGCCCACTGTCACCACTTCTATTCAACATAGTATTGGAAGTCTTAGCCAGAGCAATTAGGCAAGACAAAGATATAAAGTATATCTAAACCAGGAAAGAGGAAGTCAAACTATCCCTGCTTGCTGATGATATGATCTTGTATCAAGAAAACCCTAAAGACTTTACCGAAAGACTCCTAGAATTGATAAATAAATTCAGCAAAGTCTCAGGGTACGAAATCAATGTACACATATCAGTAGAATTTCTAGATCCTGCTAACAGTCAAGCTGAGAGTCAAATTAAGGACTCACTACCATTCGCAATAGCTACAAAGAAAATAAAATACCTAGGAATATACTTAACCACGGAGGTGAAAGATCTCTACAAGGAGAAATACAAAACACTGAGGAAAGAAATTGCAGGTGACACAAATAAATGGAAAAACACCCCTTGTTCATGGATTGGCAGAATCAACATAATTAAAATGTCTATACTACCCAAAGTGATATACAGATTCAATGGAATATCCATCAAAATGGCAATGTCTAATTTCACAGAACTATAAAAAATAATCCTAAGCTTCATTTAGAACTGAAAAAGACCCCAAATAGCCAAAACAATCCTAGGCAAAAAGAACAAATCTGGAGCCATCACATTACCTAACTCCAAATTATACTACAAGGCTACAGTAACCAAAGCAGCATGGTACTGATATAAAAGTAGTGACATAGACCAATGGTACAGAATAAAGAACCCAGAAATAAAACCACATAGCTACGACCAACTGATCTTTGACAAAATAGACAACAACATACACTTGGGAAAGGAAACCCTATTAATAAATTGTGCTGGGAAAATTGGATAGCCACATGCAGAAGAATGAAATAGAGCTGCTATCTCTCACCATACAAAAATTAATTCAAGATGGATAAAAGACTTAAATGTAAGGCATGAAACCATAAAAATTCTCAAGGAAAAAATAAGAAAACCTCTTTTAGACTTTGGGCTAGGCAAAGAATTTATGACTAAGACTCCAAAGGCAAATACAGCAACAACAAAAATAAATAAATGGGACTTAATTAAATTAAAAAGTCTTCTGTGCAGCAAAGGAAATAATCAACAGAGTAAGTAGCCAACCTACAGAATGGGCAAAAATATTCACGAACTATACATCTGACAAAGGACTAATATCCAGAATCTACAAAGAACTCAAACAAATCAGCCAGAAAAAAACAAACAATCCCATCAAAAAGTAGGCAAAAGACATGAACAGAAGTTTTTCAAAAGAAGATAAAGAAATGGCCTACGAACTTATGAAAATGTGCTCAACATCACTAACCATCAGGGAAATGCAAATTAACACTACAATGAGATATCACCTTACCCCTATCAGAATGACCATTATTAAAAAGTCAAAAAACAATAGATGCTGGTATGGATGCAGAGAGATACGAACGCTTATACACTGTTGGTGGGACTGCAAATTAGCACAACCTCTATGGAAAACAGTAGGGAGATTACTCAAAGAAACAAATGTAGACCTACCATTTGATCCAGCAATCCTACTGCTGGGTACCTACCCAAAGGAAAAGAAGTCATTTTTTCAAAAAGACCCCTCCACTCAAATGTTTATTGCAGCACAATTCACAATTACAAATATGTGGAACCAATTTAA